TAGAGCTTCTTCAGGCCAGTGCAAGTAAGTGGGAATACTAGTTCTTATTTCCACTTCTTTTTACACAGAAAGTGGCCTATTTTATTCTCTCTTCTGATAACTTTTGCCTTTCATTTGATAACATACTTGGAAATCTTTCCATATTAACACAAATTTCTTCATTATTTTTATTCCTTTGTCATGTTACTTGTATAAATTTACATCAAAATATATCTCACTAGTACCCTATTCATAGGTACTTGTGGTTTTCTTCCCCCCAAATGCTGCTACCCCAAAACATGACTGCAAAGAATTTACACTTGTCATTTGCACATATGCAGAAATTTCTGATTTTCAGAGGTGGAATGTCTGGATTAAAAGTTAGATCATGGGCTGGGGATGTGGCTCAAGTGGTAGCGCGCTCATATGGCCCGGGTTCGATCCTCAGCACCACATACAAACAAAGATGTTGTGTCCGCCGAAAACTAAATATTAAAATTCTCTCTCTCTCTCTCTCTCTCTCTCTCTCTCTCTCTCTCTCTCTCTCTCTCTCTCAAAAAAAAAGTTAGATCATTTTTATTGTTTATTTATTCTAATTTGTTATATACAATGGCAGAATGCAATTCATTTAATATCATACAGACAGAGCACAAATTTTCAAGTCACTGATTGTACACAAAGTATTTTCACACCACTTGTGTTTTCATACATGTACGTAGGGTCTAACTAATTCCACCATCATTCCTACCTCCTTGACCCCTCCCTTTTCCTCCCTCCCATTTGCCCTATCTAAAGTTCCTCCATTCCTCCCATGCTACCCCTTCATCACCATTATGAGTCAGCATCCTCATATCAAAGAAAACATTCAGCCTTTGGTTTTTGGGATTGACTTACTTCACTTAGCATTATATTCTCCAACTCCATTCATTACCTGCAAATGACATGATTTTATTCTCTTTCAATGCTGAGTAATGTTCCATTGTGTATATATACCAAAGTTTCCCTATCCATTCATCTACTGAAGGGCATCTAGGTTGGTTCCACAATTTAGCTATTGTGAATTGTGCTACTATAAACATTGATATGGCTGTGTCCCTGTAGTATGTTGTTTTAAAGTCCTTTGGGTATAGACCGAGGAGTTAGATAGCTGGGTCAAATTGTGGTTCCATTCCAAGTTTTCCAAGGAATCTGCATACTGCTTTCCAGATTGGCTTCACCAATTTGCAGTCCCACCAACAATGTATGAGTGTGCCTTTTTCTCCACATCCTCACCAACACTTATTGTTGTTTGTATTCTTGATAGCTGCCATTCTGACTGGAGTGAGATGAAATCTTAAAGTAGTTTTGATTTGCATTTCTCTAATTGCTAGAGATGTTGAACAATTCTTAGCAAGAAGAGTGAAGCTAGTGGCATTACTATTCCTGGCCTTAAACCATACTACAGAGCAATAGTAACAAAGACAGCATGGTATAGGCACCAAAATAGACCTATAGACCAATGGTACAGAATAAAGAACACAGAGACTAACCCACATAACTACAGTTATCTTATATTAGACAAAGATGCCAAAAACATACATTGGAGAAAAGATTCATCAAATGGTGTTGGGAAAACTGGAAATCCACATGTAACAAAATGAAATTAAACCTCTATCTCTTGCCATACACAAAACTCACCTCAAAGTGGATCAAGGACCTAGGAAATAAACCAGAGACCTTGCGTCTAATGAAAGAAAAAGTAGACCCAAATCTTCATCATGTCAGATTAGGCCCCAATTTCCTTAATAGCAAGACTCCTCTAGCGCAAGAATTAAAATCAAGAATCAATAAATGGGATGGATTCAAACTGAAAAGCTTCTTCTCAGAAAACAAACAAACAAACAAACAATCAGTGAGGTGAATAGAGTGCCTACATTTTGGGAGCAAATCTTTACCACAAGCACATCAGATAGATCACTAATCTCAAGGATATTTAAATCTCTCAAAAACCTTAACACCAAAAACAAACAAACAAACAAACAAAAAAACCAAATAACCCAATCAACAAGTGGTCCAAGGAACTGATCAGACACTTCTCAGAAGAGGATATACAATTAATCAACAAACATATGAAAAAATATTCAACATCTCTAGCAATTAGAGAAATGTAAATCATTTTTCTTTTTCATCGACTTTGCCAATTACTTTACATAGGGAAGATAAGTAAGGTTTAGAAAATGTTCTACATTATTATATTTATCTTCACATATTTTGGCAAAATGCCTGGCATAAAAGTATTCAATAAAATGCTTATTTGGGGATTATTTCATTATTCTCCAACTTCACTTTTTTCTGGAAAGTATTAGTGTCACTACTGAATTTTATTTGTGAGAGGCCAAAATTCTGTGATACAAAAAGAGAGAAAAGTACCCATGCTGACTCATCAAAGAAGCATTATTTTTCTTAGAAAACTTTTAACAGTGTACTTGGAAAAGTCAGACTGCAGAATGGGTGCCCAGGTTCGGTGAAGGGAGGACGGTCAGGAGATCATGGGAATCTCCCTCCAGGGCAGTTTAACCTTGCCTGCAGAATCTCAGGAAATGAGTCATGTTGGCACCAACTTCTCAGTTAGCAGAAGTTCAAGGTGCATTGGATGCAAGTTCCAGAAGTTACTGATTTCATGACAGGCTTCAGCAAGCCTGAGAGGCCATGTTAGCTCTCTGACAACTCTCTAGCCAGCAGCGGACAGTGATAGAGTTAGAAATCACTCAGTCCACAGGCTGACTATCCAACTCAGTGAGAAACTTGTTAAAATGATGGAATCAGAGTCTCTCACTCTAAGGGCTCTGATCATATTTCCCCGAAGGTTTATAGGATGTTTTGCTCATCAGCTTGTCTCATAAAATTTTGGCTTAGTCCAGTCTCTCATCTCACTGGCAAAGAAGTGGAGGTCCAGGAAAACCAAATAATTAGCTATCATCACAGAGTTAATCAGTGACAGATCTGGAATATGAACCCAGGTCACTCAATGCTGTTCATTCCTGGATGATGGGCTTGGGGAGGAGCTAAGTAAGTGACACTGTATCATTTACCCTCATTCCAGCTGAAGCAGCTCAATTCCTTTCTTGTTTTTCATAGATAGGTTCCCATAATCTTTTCCTTAACAAATGGACATTATGTTCTAAGTGTTTCAGAGCCTTTTATCAAAGGTAGAAAAAAACAAGCAAATGATAATCATACAACCAGCAGGTATTTGAATCAGTCCTGGCCAGGCTAGGGTCCCTGTTTCCTTTTGTGAGAGGAGGGTCTTATACTAAGAGGATTAGGAATGTTAATATGTACAGCAGTTTAGATATTTGGCATTAAAGTCCTATTATACAGAGAATACATATGAGATATTACAACTGAATTGTCATTACTGCAGCCCGGTGCTGGGAACAGAGTCAGCACCATGTTAGATACCTAAAAATGAAGGGTCAATTTTCTTGTAATCTCTTCTTATCAATAAAATAAAACAGCTTAGATTTTATAAGTCTCAGGCTATAGTGGTTCTCCACCTTGACTGGGTATAGGGATAATCTGGGATGCTTTAAATTTCTTGGTATACTTAGACATGGGCCCCGTCCACTGAGTTTCTGGTATACTCGTTCTAGTCTGCATCCTTGGTGTTAGGATTTTTCAAACCTCCCTGGCAATTCTGGTATGCAACCAAGGACTGAGAATAGTTGCCTTGATGGCATTGATTCTTATAAGTACAAACTTCACACTGACAACATCACTTGGGAACTTGTTGGAAATACAAATTATCTTTTTCCTGACCCAGATTGACAGAATAAGAAATTCTGGGATGATCCCATAAATATGTATTCCAACACATACTCCAGGTGATTTCCATGTGCACCAAAGTTTATGATCTTTGAGCTAGAAAGTATGAACTTATCAGTGATACTCTTAGTTACCAGTGATGAATTCTGCTCCCTCACCTGTTGAAGTACAACATTAGGGAAGCAGGCCGAGGCAAGAATATAAAGCAGGGTTTGTTTAAAAAGGGTAACATAGACTTCTCCCGGGAGGGAGAAGGGGGCCATAGCTGATATCCTGGTATCCCAAAAAGTGAGGGGTTTTGCCTTTTTTATATGTCTTAGGCTTCCTTTGTTCTCCTGGTCTCTTTCCCTTATCTTTTTCTTCCTGAGCAGGGACTAAGCCCAGGAGATCCTCGGTAGGATGGCCAAAAGGTGGGAAACAGGTGGGCTGGAGGGGCTGGGGAGAAATGATCTGGACAGGAAGAGGGCATAATTAACAACTCCCTTAGGGAGGGACAATCCCTGGGACAGGTTACCTTAGCAGCAGGTTGGAGCAGGGGCAGGTTATCTTGGTGAGGGTGAATGAAAGTCTCTGAAGGCATTAGCATTTCAATCCCTCTCCAACTTTCTGGACTCAAATTGGCCTCCTCCATCAGATCTGACTTGATTTACCAATCTAGACTCACTGCCAGTCTAGTTCAGGCTTCATTAGGATAGGTGTCGATCAATAAGTAGAACTAGGCCAGTAAGCAGAAACACTTATTTGGGAAAGAGCCAAGAAAGTGAGGCAGAAAGGTAAAAAAAAAAGCTCATCTCTCAGAATGAGCTAAAATTTATGATCAAAGCATTGGAAGAAAAATGCTATTCTGTTTTATTGAAGTGTTCTCCTAAGAGAAAGGTTTGATTTAAAAATGTATACAGTTCTAAATACTTGAAATTTCCTGATTAACATACTTGGAAAAATTGGTCCTCTGAAAATGGCTGTCTGCATTTGCATGAGAAAGTAGGAGTAAGACTTGGATTACTTTTGCTTCACCAATGCTCAGCAAATTGTTAAAAAGTAGAGTTCAAGGCTAAGATCTCAGGCTGGCAGTGTGTAGAATAAATGTGCAACTGCAAGAATGGTACCTTCCCTGAATTGCTTTGTGGAGGAACGGCTGGGTTATTCTAACAAATCTGGGATATTCTAACAAAGTGGCCTAATCTTCTCTAAAGTAGGTATTTTCTTCTTCCCTGCAGCCAGGGGCCATTGAGACTGCCCTGGAGGACTTGAAAGGCCACATAGCTGAGACTTATGGAGAGACCATTCAAGGCTTCTGGCTCCTGACAGAGTGAGTAGCTATGGCCAAAGGAACTAGACTGGAAATGTTTTCCTTGACATCACTATAGCAGAACAAGAAATGAACCTCTGATAGATTTTCTTCTGGTTGCTATATGAGAATTGATTGGCTTTTCCATCTAGGAAGACAAGTTCCTTCTGTCGCATGGCTGATCAAATGGCCAGTTTGGACTTTTCCTGCTGTTATCTGGGCTGGTCCTCTTGTTTGGCCGTTACTAAGACTACTTCAGGGCAGGCCTGTGGCATGGCTCTCAATGACTGATGCATTAACTTCCTAAATCTCTAGTTCTAGTCTCATTTCCTATAACCATGTTGGGCTATTAATCATTCCATTCCAGTGTAATGGCAAGAAAGTAGAGTTCAAGGTTAAGATCTCAGGCTGGCAGTGTGTAGAATAAATGTGCAACTTCAAGAATGGTACCTTCCCTGAATTGCTTTGAGTAGGAAAGGGAATTAATGGATCAACTTGTATAGTTTAAATTGTATTTTATGTACAGTCAGCCATATGAGAAGGAATACCAGGCCACCTGTGGAAATTAGGATAAAAAACAAGTCTAACACATAAGTCCTTATATTATTACCCTCCTGCATTTACCCCTCAAGGCTTATCTTAATGATGAGAGTTCTCATTGCAAATTTTCAGCATGCAGATGTTTAACTTTTTGTTGGGCCTAGAAACTATTGTCTGAGTGACCCTTTCTTTACCCACACAGTGAATATTAGTGATTTCATGTTTTTTACAACAAAAAGCAAAATATCCACATGATAAGGGAAAGAGGCAACTCTTTTATTTATTTAATTAGTTAATTTATTTACGACAGAACACATAATATTAAATGGAAAATGTGAATATCCTTCTATGACACTTAATGTATTCAATAACTTCTGTTTTCTGGCCTGGTAACCTGATTGCCAAAGAATCCGCAGAGAAGCTCAGTGATTCCTATGCTATGAGGGAAGAATAATTTAGTTAAGTCGGACATATTTAACTCAGTTGAAAGAGGGCAACACTTGAAAGTTTAACATCCCAGGCCAGCAGAACAAATGCCTCAATCAACAGGAAATAGAGCCAAACTACCTGTGAGTCTGTCTGATTAATCTCTATTTTATACTATTCTTTCAAATGGGTTCCAGAATTGGATGAATAGAACTTTTGAAATACAACTTGCCTGTCCAATTTGAGCCTTTGTTTCTTCATCTATAAAATGGTTCTTTAGAAGACTAAATAAGATGATATCTGCAAAGTGTCTATAGCATAGAGGATTTTCTTTTCTTTTTAAATATATTTTCATTATACATAAGATTAGGATTCATTTTTACATAATTATAAAAGCATCGAATGTAATGTGCTCTAATTCAGCCCCCAGTAATTTCCTTTTTCTTACCCTCCTCCCTCCTGTTCCCTTCTCTCTACTGAAGTCTTTCTGTTATTTACTTATAGTTTTATTTTTAATTAGTGTCTTTTGGAATTACACGATAGTGAGATTTACTTTAGTGTCCTCCTCTATTCCCAAGCACGAACTATCAATTAAAGACTGCTTCTCCATCCTCCTCCTCTCCATCTTCCTTTCCATCTTCTCCTTCCCTTTCCCCTTCTTCATCTTTTGTTGTCTCTACCTTCATTTGCATCCTATCCCATCTCTATCATTTCTGAGTTAACACTAATGAAAAGGGAAGCCTATAATTCAGGCTTTTCAATAATTTACTTTGAACAGTCTCCATGTTATTCCTTACCCCCCATTCTCCTTACACAGAGTAAAATTTGACTAAAGCAAATAAAAACCCTGCTTTAATTAGGACCATATCCACATAGATTCTAGAGGTACAATCAGAAATAAATTCTTACCTAATTTGTTTTGGTAATGCATCTCTCTTATAAGGAAGAATGCATAAATATGGCCTTTCAAAATCTAGTTGTAACCCTTTTTGAGTTCTCAAATGATAGACCATTAATTTAGTTAATATTGTATATTTAAATAGTTCGGTTTTATTTGTATAAAAATGTGCCTTTTTGTTTGTTTGATTTTTGTTTAGTGATTGTGAAGACTTGCAGATGTAAGTAGACCAAAGATAAATCAGATTGTTCAATCTGCATGGAAGCTTAGCACCATAATTCTAGGTGCTTGACTTAATATCAGCTACAATAATTAGTGCAATCATTAATTTCAGATAAATATGAACAGCTATGTCCCAAAGACCCAAACTTTGAACCCAGTTTTGAATCTAATAAGAAGCTCTGAAATGGGTAAAGCCTATCTATAGACTCATTTTCCATTTCTCTTTTATTTTTTGTACTTATCTAAATTAAGGACAACAATGAGTGATCTATCTTGTGTACATGGGGTTCCATGCAATCATGTTTGCTTTCACATTTCTTTCCTACAGTTTGGAACCGATCTCACTTTATATGAGATGAGTTTGGTATTCTTTTCAGTCTGCCTCTCTGCCATAATTCTTTAATTTCTCCTTCCAATTAAAAGATGGTTTCAAAAAAGGTCCTGATTTCAGTCATTTCCACAATGGTGAGAATTGCTACTTTCTTCTCTTTGCTACTTAAAACTTAAAGCTGGTTCTTTGGGGTCTTGTCCAATAGGAAGGGCTGGCTTCTGAACTCAATGAATGAGGCTCAGTCACTGTGATTGTTCAGACACAGGAGGGAGGCCCCATTGTCAGAAAGAGGAGGGTTGACAGAAGCTCCCAAAGGTCTTGAAGAGTTAAGTCTTTTTGTTTGTTTGATTAGAGATTGTAGGACATCAATATGGGGAAAGGGGAAAGAAACAGTAGTAATGAGAACAAAGAAAATGGGCTGCTAAAACAGCAACAGCAAAACAATAAAAACCAAATCAAACAAACAAACATACAAGCTCAGAAAGAGAGAGCCTGGGACTACTCTGCCTCTTGCTTCTTTATTTTATAGAGAAGGGAGACTCATTCATTCAGGTCCCATGAATTATAAAATCCTCAATGTAGACCATCTTCTTTAATCCCACCAACCACACAATACCCTCTCATAACACTTCTGTGTATAATGGAGATAATGGGGCTTCATGCACATTGACTCTCAGCTCCTGCATGGAGATGAGATGCCTCTGGTTGCTCTGCCAGCAATGCGAAGTATATCTGCTTTTAAATAAGAATTCCAGTTTCAGAATGATGAATGTAAAAGGCCTTTTAATATACCTGGCACATTAAAGCATATGTTTACATTCATAAATTTGCTTTAACTTCCTGCAACCTTGTTGCTTTTATGATCACCATTTTACAAATGAGAAATGGAGGTTGGGGTGCATGAAATGGCCAGATGGAGAGGTGGAAGTGATAGAGCAGGGAAGATAGACAACACCCCTCTAGTAGTCATGAGGCTGATTGGATTCTGATTCTTTCCAAAAGGTATAAGATGCAGGTGTGCAGTGATTGATGAGCTCAATTCAGTCATTAGTCATGGTTGGTCAGACTCCTAGAAATAGTTTGATGGAGAAGGACAACGTGGAAATTCTCAGGAGGAGAAATTGGAGAAGTAAATGCTTATGGGCCTTTTGCATTATGCTAAAAAACTGAGATTCTATCCCATTAGTGATGTGAAGACACTGAAGGGTTGGCAAAAAGAAATGTATTGACATTTTATGAAGATCAGTATAAGCCCATAATCAGTTATTTAAAATCTTTGGAAACTGAAGTGAATCAAAACTGAGAGTTTTTCAGATTTTAGAATGGTGAAAAAAGCTGGGCATATTGATGCATACTTGTTATCCCAATGACTAGGAGGCTAAGGCTGGAGGATTGTAAGTTCAAAGCCAACCTCAGCAACTTAGTGAGATCCTGTCTCAAAAAAAAAAAAAAATGTGGATGTGGCTAAACACTCCCTTGGTTTAATCCCTGGCACACCCCCCCCCCAAAAAAAAAAAGGTAAAACAATGCATAATATTTATTATTTTATGTCCCAAGTAGAAATATAAGAATCTAAGATAGCCCCCCTTAATTAAATACAGTAATTATTTTGAAGAGAAATGTGTGATTCAAAGTAAGATAAATAAAACTGTAAATGGCAGGTCCAGGTATAAAATGTGCTGGTACCACATCTGCTATCTTCAGAGCTTTGTTGCCATGAAATTGTGGATGAGGATTTTTGACCTTAATGTGTTTGAAATGTCAAGGACAAACCAATGTGTGGAAGGTTGGGTGACAGATATTTACTTGTATAGTATCAGTCAGGGACTTACCAAATGGTGTATTAAAGTTGATTTATACTAGCTCATAAGAGGTGATTGGTGAGTTTCAGGAATTTTAAGAACCAGTTATTATTAAAACTAATTTGTATAAAAATTTCATAAAATATAATGTAAAATAAAAATAAATATAGTCAAAACTCACCACTTTATGATTATTTTATTTCATTTTCTTGTTATTCATGCTCCTGAGGTAATTTTTGACCATTATATTTGATTAATGAAATATCAATTATGTTGTGCTATGACACATTTCTTCCTAACTCCCCATTCACTGCTATTATGTTGGCAGCTTAAATTCAGCCACAGTGACAACATTACACTGTGGAAATTGATAAACACCACGGGTCAGAGCTTTATTTTTTGATTATTGTTTTGTTGATTTTCAAAACTTAAGAAAGTAATGGAAAATGTTAACAATGAAGGTGAAATTTAAAAGCATATCCTGTCTGCAACTCTTACATCATAATACTATTTTAAAAATTGAGGAAATACTATTCTTACATTAAGAAGTTATTATGCAATTCATCAAAAGTTACCTTTTTCATTGATGAATGGATGCATAAAGTATGCACAGAGGCAATCAGAGAAATGTTATTGCAGCATGTCCAAGGCTACATGGTTGCAGAGAGACTGTTTTCTGGACCTGAGGTTGAGGCAGGCTTTGCTGGCTCTTATCCATCTTGCTGACCCCAGCTGGAAATGACAACAGGCTCCTCTTCCTGAAATATCACTCTGGTGCCCTCTACTGCAAAAGATTAACATG